GTCTGAGGAACGAGGCAGTCCCAGAGACGTGGAAGTGGGGTACAGACTGACAATCCCCAGAAGAGGGGTGGGGGGGGATAAACCACGGAACTTATATGCATGTATGCATGAACAATGGACATGGACAACAAAGCTGGGGACAGGGTGGGGCGGGGGGAAGCGGGGGTATCAATGGCGGAAAAAGGAGAAACATCTGTAACAAAAATAAACAAATTAATTAATTAATTTTTAAAAATTAAATAAAATGACTAGAAAAATAAATAAATTCTTTTCTTTTGAAGCAATGTAAACTGGTTTTCCCTAAACCTGTTCCTACATTGGTGTTTTAATCCCTGAAGAGAAGAAAAAGTAATGCTACATTTCTTAACTAGAATACCTGACAGAGTGCCAAGGGTACTATCCAGAAACAAACGTCTCTGAATAAATTTGATGCATCTAGCTGGAGCACCATTTTATTTTATTTTTAATCCTTACCCGAGGATATTTTTTCCACTGATTTTCAGAGAGAGTGGGAGAGAAGAGGAGAGAGAGCAAAACATCATTGTGAGAGAGATACATTGACTGGTTGCCTCCTGCACGACCCCAACCAAGGCTGGGAAATGAACTGCAACCGAGATACGAGATACGTGCCCTTGACCAGAATCAAACCCATGACTCTTTAGTCCGTGGGACGACATTCTAACCACTGAGCCTAACTGGCCAGGGTGGAAGCATCAATTTTAATTTGAGTGGGGGTGATGGTGCTAGCTCTAAAACAGACGTAATGGCAACAAATTTTTTTAAAAATCACCTAAAATTTTATTTAAGCCCTGGCCAGTGTGGCTCACTTGGTTGGATGTCGTCCCGTGCAACAAAAGGTTGCTGGCTCGATTCGGAGTCAGGGCACATGCTTGGGTTGTGTGCTGATCCCTGGTAGGGAGAGTGCAGGAGGCAGCTGACTGATGTTCCGCTCATAGATGTTTCTCCCTCTCTCTTTCCCTCTCCCTTCCTGTCTCTCTAAAACAAATAAAATAAAATAAATATATTTATTGCCCTGGCCAGTTTTGCTCAGCAGTTGAGCGTCGGCCTGCGGACCAGAGAGTCCCGGGTTCGGTTCCTGCTAGGGGCATGTAAACACACACACACAAAAAATGTATTAAAAAGAAAGAGACTTCAAAGACATTCCATGTTTCCTGTGGTGGCAGAACCTGTATACAGACATATCAGAGATATTGTAGGTTCAGTTCCAGGCCACTGCAATAAAGTGAGTATCACAATAAAACTAGTTGTAATCTTTTCATTGGTTGAAGAAAAGATTACAATTTTTATATATAAAAAAAAAAAGCCAACAGAAAAAGCCTGACACCTTTAAAATGCAATAAATCAAAGCACTATAAAACAAGGTAATGCCGCCCTGGCCAGTTTGGCTTAGTGGTTAGAGCGTCAGCCTGAAGACCAAATGGTCGTGGGTTCAAGGGCACTTACCTGGGTTACAGGTTCGGTCCCTGCCCTGGTCGGGTTGTGCGGGAGGCACTAATCAATGTGTCACTCTCACATCCATGTTTCTCTCTCTCCCCCTCCCTCCCTCCTTCCACTGTCTAAAAATCAATGGAAAAAATATCCTCACTTGAGGATTAACAAAAAACAAACAAACTGAAAAATAACATATGCCTGCGGTTCCTTCACTCTGCTGTTAAGGATACTTTAGTGAAAAGGTTTGACAAACACTACACTAAAGTAAGGAACTGACAGAAGATAAAAGAAACATTTATATTCATTAAGTAAATATTTATGTGCCAGGCACTTTGGTAAATGCAAAGGATATACAAATGGAAAAGCACATGTCTCTATCCTTAAGAAGCCTACAGCCCTGGCCAGTATGGCTCAGCGGTTGAGCATCGGCCTGTGGAACAGAGAGTCCCAGGTTCGGTTCGTGCTAGGGGCATATACCACAAAAAAAAAAAAGAAAGAAAGAAAAGAAGCCTACAGCCCTGGCTGGTGTATCTCAGCTGGTTGGAGCCTAATTCCATGCACAGAAAGGTCTTGGGTTCAATTCCCAGTTAGGGCACATGTCCAGGTTCAGTGTTCAGTCCCCAATTGGGGTGCATGCAACTGATTGATGTTTCACTCTTACATCAATGTTTCTTTCTCTCAAATCAATTTTTTTAAAAAGAGGAAGGGGGAGGAGGGAGAGAGGGGCAGAGAAAGAGAAAAACATGGATTTGTTGTTCCACTTAATTATGCATTCATTGGTTGCTTCTGGTACATATGTAAAATAATTTTTATTTATTTGTTTTAAAGAGACAGGAAGAGAGAGGGAAAGAGAGAGGGAGAAACATCTATGAGCAGAACATCAATCAGCTGCTTCCTGCACTCTCCTTACCGAGGATCAGCACACAGCCCAAGCATGTGCCCTGACCCAGCCAGGGATCACAGGAAATATTTTTAAACTCTGCTGTTCAGATGCCACTGTCCAGAGACTCTGAGACTCTAATTTAGTCTTAGGTTGGGCCAGGTTATTCTAATTGGCATCCAGGGTTGAAAATCATGTAGTGTCATACTGATCAGTCCCTGCTGTTTCTGACTAAAAGAGACCCTTAAAAAAAGTATGGGGCTGCTGTTTAACAAAAAGGAGAAGTAACAAAAGAAAGAAGCTTAGAGATATTTGAAAACAGCTTAAGAACAAGGTCTGAGTGCCAAGTAAGGCCAGATGGCAAAAGGTATCCAAACAAATGAGCCTCACCTTCTGCCATTTATTTATTCTTCTCTCATCTACTACCCACCTAGGATCAAGAAGAATTTTTAGCTCGGGCTGGTTTGGCTCAACCAGGGCCGGGGACAAAGTGCAACTGAGGTATGTGCCCTTAGCGGGAACGGAACCTGGGTCTCTCCAGACCGCAGGCCAACGCTCTAACTGCTGAGCAAAACCAGCCAGGGCAATTTTAATTGAATTTTTTAATCCTCACCCGAGGATATTTTTCTATTTATCTGCGATAGAGTGGGAGGACGGGGGAGAGAAACACTGACGTGAGAGGGACACATCAACAGGGTGCCTCCTGCACAACCCATACCAGGGCCAGGGACGAACCACAACCGAGGTACATGCCCTTGGCCCGAATCGAACTCAAGACTCAATGGTCCTCGGGCCGACGCTCTACCACTCAGCCAAACCGGCCAGGGCATAAATGCTGTTATTTTAAAAAAGAGATTAGCAATAGGATAAACAGGAAGAGCCTTGGTTAAAAAGTATCATTGTCTATAAAAAAGAGCCATTCCAATACCAATAGCAAACTAGGTCCTCATGACAAAATAAAGCTTAATTATTTTCTAATTTTCTTCATCTGCAGGCCACCTTGAGCATAACCTGATGATTAAGCAAGACAGGAGAGAAAAACTGCTAAAGCAAACTTTCAATCTCTCAAAATAAATAAATAAACAAGTTGCCTACAAAGCAATACCAAAAAGGTAAAAACTTCCTTACAATAACTTCTAAATTATGATAATAGCTGACATATAATGCCTATAATATGCCAAGCACTGTTCTAAGCACTTTAATTATATCAACTTAATCCTCACATCAAGCCTATGAAGGTACTATAAGGTTCCATTTTATAGATGAAGAAACTGAGGCAGGGAGACATTCAGTAGCTTACCACAGATCATGTATCTTGGCTGCAGTTTTCCACTGGCCCCAGTTGGAGTTGTGTGGGTGGCAACCAGTTGACGAGTCTCTCTCACATGGATGTTTCTCTTCCTCCCTCTCTCCCTCCCACTCTATCTGAAGATAAATGCAAAAATGTCCTCGGGTGAGGATAAAAAAAAGAAGATAGAGGGCCATCTCACATAATCTCTTAAGATCACTTTCATACAATTCTTTGTTAATTCAACTCAACAAGCATTTGCTTCTCCAAACTCTGCTTCACACTGGAGAGATAAAATGATGAATGAGGCATGCCAGAAAGTCAAAATTCTTACAACTAAAGGAAGGCTAAGGAACTGTTTTAGAAACTACAGTGGTAAGGCATTCTTCAGTAGGGCCATTCAAATCTCTTAGTCTAGCATTCAAAACATTTCAGTAAAGCCCAGCCAGTGTGGCCCAATTGATTGAGCCCATGGTCCCATGCACCAAGAGGTCACCAGTTCAATTCCATGTCTGGGCACATGCCAGGGGTTGGACTTAATCTCCAATTGGAGGCATGCTGGAGGCAGCCGACAGATGTTTCTCTCTCCCTCTCTCTAGAAAAAGCAATAAAAACATATTTAAAAAAACAAAACATTTCACCCTGGCCGGTTTGGCTCAGCAGTTAGAGCATCGGCCTGCGGTCCAGAGAAACTGGGTTCGGTTCCCGCTAAGGGCACGTACCTCAGTTGCAGTTTATCCCTGGTCCTGGTTGGGTTGTGTGAGTGGCAACCACTCGATGTGTCCCTTTCACGTCGATGTTTCTCTCTCTCTCTCCCTCCCACTATATCTGAACAAAAAATGAAAAAATGTCCTCTGGTGAGGGTAAAAATAAATAAATAAATAACCAAAACATTTCAATATAGCTCCTCCACTCTAGCCAGTTCACGTCCATCTCTAAGTTTCTGCTTATGCTGTAACCTTCCTCTAAACCTGTAACGCTTTTCATCTCTTGCTTGCTTCTCCAAGATTCCAAATCTGAATTCATCTCTTCCTTTAGCTTTGTCCCATACCAATCTCCCCCTCAGTTTTCTATGAATCATGTACTATGCTCCTGCTTCCTGGCAACTTTGTAACTTGATTTTCCCTTTGGGGTCTATTTGAGGTCTTGGATAGAATTCTGGTTCATCATCAAAGAGATGACTGCTGATTAAGCTTCATATAGTTAGGCTATGAGAAGAACTTAATTTTGAAGACAGTAAACTGAGGGGCTAAGAAGTTTCAAGACTGTGAACACCTGGGCTGGCACTGGCTTGAGAACAAAGTAGGACGGGGAAGGGAGAGAACCTCTACCGCACTTCTTGAGTTGGTCTAGGCATGATTCTGGGCCCTTAACAGTTACCTGTTTAGGGTCCTGTATGCACCTTCCACGTTCCCTTCCTGCACCATCACAGTCCTGGCAATGAACTTCAGATGTTTTGCCATGCCCTTGGAATTAAGTCTTCACTTTGCAGGACCTAAAGGTCGATGGAGAAAGGGGACAGAAAATAGAGAGCCTAGATAAAAAAGAGAAACACAACAGAACACACATTCTACCTCATGGCTTATTCAATGTCTGGATATGCAACGTGCTCAAGAATAAGCAAGACAAGGCACGTGCAAGTTCTCGTTGCCTAAAAATCATGAGAGTCGTTATCGAGACTCCCTCGTTCTTTTTGCCAATACAGACCCTATCAATAGGGAAGCAAAGAGATGGTAGCGGGGTGTCATGTCACCACGGAAATCTACGTGGCCGGACACGAGAGGACCCGGACGCGCCGCAGACCCCACCTCCAAGACTGCTCACGGCTTCAGGAGGTTTGGGGTGGGAGTTAGGTTCGGAGTCTTTCTCCGTGTTGAGGAAGGAGGACAACTGCGCGAAAACGTGCCCTCCTTAGTACCCGCCTACCCTTCCCACCCCCAGTCCGGGTTCCTCACCCGCACGCTCGCGACCCAGCCGACGTGAAGCCCGCTCACAGCCGGAAGCGGAAATACGTAATCCTCGCGTCGCGCAAAGAAACTGAGGCTGAAAGAAGGAAAAAAAAAAAAAAAAAACTACGCGGGAACCATGGCAACGTTGTCTCTGGTCGCGGTTGACTGTCTCTGCAGCGGTCCCCACCAGACCCCCCGAGCCCGGACTCTGCACCCGACAAAGCAAAATATTCGTTGCCTTAAATTCCCCGCAAACAAGTTCCTTCTCAGGGGGTCTTGTCCTACGGCTCCTGAGATCAGCCTGATTCCTTACCCCTTAATCCTATTAAATATGTGATATTTAAGCTATTTCTTTCTTTTTCTTTTGGAAAGAAAATGAGAGAAATAGGCGAAGCTCCCTGAGCATGCTTTTTGTTCTCTCTTGGCAAAGAACATGGATCCTTAGAGGTCTGCTCTCCGAATGAAAAACAGCATCACACCCCTCACCTGCCTAAAAACGAAGGAAAAAAAGCGAAATGAACGTACCATGAGTTTCCTATAACATCATCTTGCCAGCCATGTCACTAAATAAAGAATTGGGAAACACTTGCAGGGTTTAGAATGGAACACTCTTTTGTCATTTTGCTCTCTAGTGAGACCTAGAGAAATATCTCTTTTTAATTTTTTCTCACTATGGAAACAGCTTTCCTTTTATTCATATGTCACTTCTACATACCATTTATGGTTATTCACATAAATTCAGATCTAGTGACTACTGGAAACTAGTAGGGAAAGGCTCAAAACAAGAAAATAGGTCCCAACCAGGTACTTGTGCAATAAGGTTCTTTGAGTACCTTCCCTAAAACAGGCGCGCGCGCGCGCGCGCACGCACCCTCGTCAATTATGCTAGTTACTTCAGGGTAAACCATACTCAAAATACAAAAATAGAGCCAGACTGGGACATCATGATTATCAAGAAAGTTTTATTGAATGCCTACTCTGTGTCAAATACCTTTTGGACCACCAGAGTACAGTATGTAGACATAAAAGATAACTAATAAAACAAGGTAGCATATATTACATGCAAAATAAGTTATATAGGCTACAGCATAGCATGGTGAAAAAGCATTGGATTAGAAATCAAGAGATCTGGCCCTGGCTGGTATGGCTCAGTGGTTGGAGCGTCTGCCCATGAACCTAAGGGTCACAGGTTTGATTCCTGGTCAAGGGCCATACCCAGGTTGCAGGTTTAATCCCTGGCCCCATTCGGGGGTTGTGTGGGAGGCAATCAATTTGTGTCTCTCTCACATTGATGTTTCTCTCTCTCTCTCCCTACCTCCCTCTCTTCCACTCTATTTAAAAATCAATGGAAATAATATTCTCAGGTGAGGATTAACAAACAAACAAAAAGAAATCAGGAAATCTGGATTATATCCAAATTCTGATTATCAGGCATATGATCTTGAACAAGTCACTTAAACCAGTAGTTGCAAACTACTGCCTACAAGTCAAATCCAACTCCACCATTGTTTTTGTAAATAAACTTTTATTGGAACACAGTTGTGCTCATTTGTTTATATATTAGGTATCGCTGCTTTGAGCTACAATGACAGAGTTAGATAGTTGCAACAGAAATGTATAGTCCACAATGACTAATTTATTTACTATCTGGCTCTTGCTGATCCCTGACTTAAAATCCCAGTCTATTTCCTTATCTGTAAAATGGGACTAATGTCTGTCCTCAATCACACAAAAGTTGTCATGGGAATCAAATGGAATAAAATATAAAAGTACTGCACTGGCCAGTTTGGCTCAGCAGTTTGAGTGTCGGCCTGCAGACCTAAGGGTCTCGAGTTCAATTCCTAGTCAAGGGCGAGTACCTGGGTTGCAGGCTCAGTCTCTGGACCCTGTCGGGGTTGTGTAGGAGGCAACCAATTGATGTGTCTCTCTCACATTTATGTTTCACTCTCTCTCCCTCCCTTCCACTCTAAATATCAATGGAAAATATCCTCAGGTGAAGATTAATAACAACAAGGTATATATAAATGCCTTGAAAGAAAAGAAAGGGAAAAGTAATATTTTTGAGGGCCTACTATATACAAAACCCTGTACTAGTTGTTTTATGTACATGATCTCATTTTATGAGCCAAAGACTGAGCTTTTATATCATGTTTAATGGAGAAAATAATTGGGAGAAGGACTTGAGTTAGTCATTGAAAGAAGTATAGAGTTTAGTTAACAACCAGGAAAGACTGGGTAAAGTGATCAGCAAGAATGTGAGTTAGAGGGCAAAAAGGCTTACAGTGTTCAGGGACAAATAAGAAAACTGGAACAGAGGGATCACACAGGGGAGCAGAGGGAGAAATAGAGATCTTGACTAAAGGTTTTGGGCTTTCATCTTAAAGCACTGGTGAGCCAGTAGGGATTTGAATGGGGAATGACACGTAAAGCACTGTTCTGGAAAAGTTTATCTGGTTATCATTGAGAAGGGATTCGAGGTAAGACAGACTACTGTTATAGTAAAGTTTAGACCAGAGAGGTGGCAATGGAATGGATGGGAAGAAATGGATTTTCAGAGATAGTCTAAATACAAAATAAAAAGGATTTGGTGACTGAATGACACCAGGTTTTAAACCTAGTAATCTGGAAAAATGATGGTACCATAAATAGCACTATCAGAAGACAGAGACTGTAAAAAGGCAGAACAGAACATCTTAAATTTTTTTTCTTTATTTTAGAGAGGAAGGGAGAGCTAGAGATAGATAGAAACATCGATGGAAGAGAACATCAATTGGCCACCTCCTGCATGCCCCCCACTAGGGATTTGGCCCACAACTTGACTAGGCCCTTACTGGGCCCTGACCTGGAATTGAACTGGCAACCTTTTGGTGAATGGGTTGACACTCAACCACTGAGCCACACTGGCCGGGCAGAACAGAACGTCTTTACAGGAAAGATAATATTTGATCGGTAAGCACTGGGAAAAGCACCAGACTATAAACCAATTGTTCTGTTTCACACACTGTTCTTGCACAAGACACCAAAGTTTCATCATTTATAAAATGAAGGGGTTGGATCAGACCTCTTGGCTCTAAAATGCTGAAGTTTTTAATAATATCTTTGTTGTTGTTGTTGTTAATCCTTGCCCAAGGATATTTTTCTTTTTTATCCTCACCCGAGGATATTTTTTTTTCATTTCTTTTTTGTACAGATAGAGTGGGAGGGAGAGAGAGGAAGGGAGAGAGAGTGAGAAACATCGACGTGAAGGGACACATCGAGTGGCTGCCACCCGCACGACCAACCAGGGCCGGGGACAAACTGCAACCGAGGTACGTGCCCTTAGCGGGAACCGAACCCGGGTCTCTCCGGACCGCAGGCTGATGCTCTAACCGCTGAGCCAAACTGGCCAGGGCGCCCAAGGATATTTTTCTATTGTGTTTTAGAGAGAGTGCAAAGGAGGGATGGAGAGGGAGAGAGAGAAACATCAATGTGAGAGAGACACATCAATTGGTTGCCTCCCACATTTGTCCAGAGTGGGACTGGAGATCAAACCTGCAACCCAGGTACATGACCTTGACCAGGAATTGAATGCAAGACTCTTTGGTGCTTGTGCTGATGCTCTTACCACTGAGCCAAGTCACTGGCCAGGGCTAATATGTTTTAAGTGTTGATAATATGTAAATAGAACTCTCCAGCAGGAATCTAGACACTGAGTATGTCATCTCAGGGTAAAGATTGTGACTGGAGATAAAGTTTTTGCAGTCTTCTAAAACTGAGGCAATGATTAAAGCCATGAAAGAAGATGGAAACCTTTAAGCAAAAGGATGTTGTCAGAGAAGAATAAAGAGCCAATGTGTGAGCCTAGGGGACCACCCACATTCTGGAATGGGCAGAAGTGGGGCCATTAAGAGTTACAGAAGTTGTTGCCAGATAGGTAAGAGGAGAATTAGGCTAGTGAGCTGTCATGGGATCCAAGGGAGGAGAGTTTCAGTAGGCAGCATCAAGAGTGTCAAATGATACAAAGAGAATGAAGTACATAGTCCTTTTTAAAGGCACCCCGGATCTAGCTATTGATTGGGTAGAAGCTACACTACACTACTCTGATTCTGTGAGCTCATTAGTGACTTGGGAAGGTGTGGTAGAGTGATAGTGGTAGCTAGGCTGCAAGAGGTTAAGGACTGAGTGGTAGGAAGGAGTCAGAAGAACACAATCAGACAACTCTGTCAAGAATTATGGAGAAAAACAAGAGAGTACAGTCAGGCTCAAGAGAGGTTTTCAAGAAGGGGGCACCTGATCAAATTTGTAGGAAAAATAAAGAATAAATAATTAAATAGCAAATTGAAGTTACAAGAGAAAGAGGGCTATGTGATATAGCAAAAGTTCCAGAAGTGAAAGGTAACCAAAAACACAAATGGAGAGGTTTGCTTTAGAAAAGAGGTCATGTTTTCTGAAATAAAAGGAGAAAATTATTCAGAGAACAGAGGACTTGAGACATAGGGGAAAGACATATAACTAGCTGTGAAGAACATACTCAGTAGCCAATAAACAATAATTAAAATGACTGCATAGTCTGATATACTGCCAAGACTTAGAATGGAAGATATGGTTTTGGAGGAAAGTGAGACAAATCAGAAAGAGTAGTATACAGAGAATAGTAGATAGTGGTAAATACACTGACTTTATTTTTGCCACCTGATAACACTGGATAGGTAGCCTTCCTACTGCAACATAGGATGGGCAAGAGTAGGTTGACACTTATTCCTAATAAATAATTAATAAATAATAATACAAGAATAAACTTTTGTATAGTTATAACTGTAAACCTACTTTTGCCCACACTTGTACATTTAGCAGCTGCAGCTTTAACAAAAAGTTTTTAATATATATTGTTTTCTTTACTGATTTGAGAGAGAGGAAGGAAGAGAGAGAGAGATAGAAACATCAATTGGCAACCTCCTGCATGGCCCCCACTGGGGATCAGGCCCACA